TTAAAATGTATCAATCATTCACACTTGTACTAGCAGTACTGCAAAAGCAGCTGTCTCCAGACCTGAGTTCAAGGGGGAAAATGTTTCATACGAAAACATGATGTATATCACTCCATTTTGAATCCAGTCAGATGCTACGATCCTGTGTGGATCTGTTAATACCCAGCTACTCATGGCAAATGACAGCATCATGCAGAGGAGCATTACAAAGTGCTCTGCATTTCTGCAGCCGGACCCGTGGAAGCTGTTGGTGCTAAGGCAGTTATTTCCCATCTTTGCCCATTTTGCGGACCACTTAACTCAGTTACAGCACACTCTTCATTCCCATATAGAACTAATCTCCTCTTCTGCTAACCTACTTTTTTTTTTCTGCTGCATGTGTTCCAGTCATTGCATCTGACAAAAAACAAACTCTCAGTTCAGAGTAATTCCTTTTTTCAGCATGTACTTGCATGCACACATATACATTTGCTCATACCCGCTCTACTTTCAAATGCAAACTCTCGAGTGTGCTGGTGTAAGAAGTGATGAGAATAAAGCAAGGACAACTTGTTCACCTCTTTGCCCTTTTTATACTGCTGGTGTTTATTTTTATCATATTGGCCTTGATGTGACACTCAGCTGACATGACTGTGTTTCCCATCAGCAATCTTAAATGTAGTGAAACTTGAACTGAAACCCCAAGAAGCTGTATGATACTTGCCGATCAAAGACAGCTAACTCTTTTGATAGTTTTCTTTTCAATTGCATTGGCTAGAAATAATTCTGATGTATTCTGCTTCAACAACAGAGAGTGTAAAGTGGAAGAAGGGTGCTTCTAGCAGAGCCAAGGAGTTTGGTTTAAAATAGCTTAGCATGGGGAGGCACAGTGTCTTAATTTAGTATCTTAATGGTAGGGTGGCTCAAGCACTTCAGAAGTGTTTTTCTGATCTTCAGGTTTTTCCTAATTCCAGCTTCTGCCCAGGCTAAATTTACTTGCCTTTTTATTTAAGAGGTGAAGAATATAATCTGCCAGATTTTATTTATAATCTGCAAGTGTCTGATTTCCTAGTTTCCTGGGAATTCCGAAGGCAAGCTCAGAGGTGACCCCGTTTACTCCATGCAGCAGCACAGCTCAAGCGCAGGCTGGCAGGGAGAGGGGCACAGGGAACTGGAGCCTGGGAGCGTGGTGCGTACATACCCTCACACCCTGTCAGCCAAAACCAGGACAGTATCCACCCTGCCCGGGCGGCCCCTCTTCACCTACCTCCTCCTCGATGTCCTGCAGCTGCAGCAAAGAGGAACCCGATCTCACTTCAGATGAGTTACTTCGTATTTTTAGCAGTACATGTGAGCAGAAAATTATGATGTTGGAAGTTTTATAGAAGGAAAACGAAGGAGGAAATTATAATACGCATTTCAGTCCAGTAGCAGGCAGTGAAGTAAAGTAATTAGTCCTTTACTTGTGACCATTTGACTAGGAATACCTCTGCGCTAGGTAAGCACTACGTGCGGTAAGTTCCCGAAGTGCAGACACAGGGGATCCTCCAGAACTGTATGTCTGGAGTAACTTGAGTTATACCATTAGTTACAATCATTTTTTAATGCAGTAACTGTGTTTGCCTGGGCATCTCTTAGTGATTGCACCTGACACAGTCTGGTATGAGTTGCTAATGAGTGCTTGGATAAATAATGAACGAGGAAGGTCAGGTATTGCAGGCATAAACTAGTATGATACATCAAGAATTTGGCAAAGACTGGATCACCAAACTGCAGGAGGACTCTTTTTTTTCCCATCTGCAACAGGTAAAGTCAAGAGAGCAGTGCTAAGAAAATGACGGGTATTCTGTATGCTACGCGAAGTCAGGGTACCGATGTGGAAAAGCTCCTAGGTCACCCTATGCCATTTTGAAGAACATCAGGAAGGAAATGAGCAGAAACAAGTACTCCATCAAAGTCTTGCAGTTCCAAATCCCAACTGTAGGACATGCTGGCCTGTGTTGTGCTTCATTCTTCCTTTTCCTTTTGTTTTAATGAAAGACGCCAGAAAATCCAGCGTTGGTATTTCCACAAAGCAAAATGAATGCTCTGGGCTTTCACCCTGAGTTTTCTGTCACCACTGCCTATTAGCATGGGGTTAAATAAGAAAATAGCTGCTGGAATAATATGAAAAAGGAGTGATGACAAGCAAAGTATGTCATGCAAAAAGAAGTTAAGGACAGTAAGAATAACCAATAAACATGGAAGCCACAGCATTAAATCCCAGACAAATATTTATATGCATGTATACAAACACATATTTTACATAGCTGTCTGTCAGTAAAAATCTTGTTTTTCAAATTTCTTGGGTTTTGACCTTTGAATGTTCACATGGATCCTTTCCAGGTGGCATTTCTACACACACACATGCACACACACACACACACCCCCCGCCAGTTCTTTGAGGAGAATTTTTGCAATTTACACACTCCCATGCTTGCAGAGCATACTTCTGTATCAACTTTGTTTCCTTGGCAGGCTCAGTGGGATGGGAGCCTGCTGGGTATTTCCCTTCAGAATGTGTGAGCAGCGTAATAATTGGTACTGGCCAGAAACCAAGCACTCGATTTCCTGGAAGACGGTGAGGTTACGGCATTTGCTTTTCCTCCGAACTAAAACTAAACCCTGAAAAATTTTTTGCACAAAAAAAGTACAGCAACCTCATCAGAAATCACGGTAAGATCCCTCATTGCTAGGTTACAGCTTTGGTATAGCTCTCACTTTCTTGCAAACTCTTCTATTGCAGCTGTTCCAATTTGTATAAATTAAACATGTCTTGAGTAAAAAAATATTTTCTTCATAGCCTGATTCACGTTGAATGCACAAGTCATCAAATGTGGGTCCCCCACTCTGCAGATCAGTGCTTTAAACGCTATACCCTTGAATGTGTGTGCGGGGTTTATTTGTCTAGGACATAATTTTCTGACATGTCTAAATAGAAAGGCATATCAAAATAAGATGAAGGTGATACAGAAGGGTGAAGCAACCTGTTTTCTCAATTTGTTCTGGAGCTACTCTACTGCCTGTGTTCCTGCTCCACCTCCTTCCCCCCCAGAAGTGTGTTTGTACATAGGGGATTTCTCCGCTCATCGCCTTGCTCTGTGAGAAAGCCAATGCACAAACCCCAGCTATGCCTCTGTTTTGTTACAAACCCGCCACTTTGGCTGAGAAAGAAACTGGAAATTGCAAAATGCAAAAAAAAACCAGCACTGGTGACAGCAGGAGATTCTTCAGACAGCAGCAAAGCTTAGGAAGCACCTGCACAAGCGCCAGGCTCTCCAAGCGACGGGAAGGAGCAGATGGCCTGACGCTCAGGAGAGCCAGCAAGGGAAACAAGCACAGAAACGGAAGAAGCTTGGTCCAAAGAGGGATAACGTTTTGGACCCTTTGGGATCTCTGTTTGCAATAAACAAAGAAAAAAATCAGTCACGAGTGCCTGTTACCCGGTCTCACGCTGACCAGCACCGTCAACGCAGTCAGGGCTCCGGCTGGCGACAAGCGAGCTCACGCAGCAACAAGCAGAGCAGCAGGCGTTGATCAGGCAGGCAAGGGGAAAGGAACTGGAATGATTGCGGAATAGATGTTCCTAAACACCCCTTCCCTGGACATCAGCTTTAAACGCACGTCCCATCATAATGTTATTAATTTGTCAGGCGGGCAAAACCGTAGCACCGGTCGAAACATCTGAGCTGAAGGACAGATGTCATGACTTCTGAGGAAGATCAGGGCACGGCTATATTCTTGCTAGTAGATCTCACTGGATACTTGATCCTACTGAAATAATCTGGCTGTCCATAAATCACATCCTAGAAACAAGCAGCTTAAAATCTAGTCCTTCCAGTGCCGTTTCA